CTCTCTCCCTCTCTCTCTCTCTCTTTTTCTCTCTCTCTCTCTCTCTCTCTCTCTCTCACACACACACACACACACACACACACACACACACACACGACAAAACAAAACAAAAACTACCACCACCACCAATCAAACTTGGCAGAACTTTGCTTCACTTCTCTAACTGAGGGAACATTGACTTGGTACCCAGAATGCACAGAAATCTCTTCGCTTCATTTTGTATGTTGTTCTCTCACTGAGCTCTCTGTCTGTCTGTCTCTATCTCTGTCCCTCCTTCCTCTCTGTCTTTTGAGACACATTTTCTCATAGCCCAGGCTGGCCTCCAACTTGCTATGCAGCCCAGATGTCTTTAAACTTCTGGTCTGTCTGCCTCCACTTCCCGAATGCTGGGATTGTAGGTGGGGCCAACCACTGAGTCCCTTAGATGCTTCCTGCATCCAGGGCTTCCTGCAAGCCAAGCAAGCATGCTACCAATTAAGCTACATCTGCAACCCCCCCTTTCTCCCTTTTGCTCATCTTTTCCTCTTTATTCCTCCCTCCTTATAAACTGGGATTTTAAATCGCTACTTTAGTCCCTAATCATGTGATGCGCTTCCTAAGCTGAGGAAAGGGAAGGACAGAAAAAGCGACAGAGTGGCATTGCAGTAGGAAAGGACAAATATAGTCGGTTATTGCTCCATCCCCCGCATCCAACCTGGGCCTTTCCCACACTTCCTGCCCTGTTTTCATCACAGCTCTGATCCTTCAAGTTCCCCAGGACAAGGAGCACCCTGTTTAGGTGGCCCTGACATTCCTCAATACTGCCCACCCCACCTGCCCCGCTGTGGACATCCAAGTCAAATAGAGCTTTCCTGTCTTTTGACACAGCCCCACATTCCTGGGCTGTTTCCATGGAAGGCAGGGAGCTAACAGATAGAGGAAAACGGAGCCAATGTGGGAAATGCGTTCAAGAGCCACAGTGGAAATGATGCAGATGGCGATAAAAGGAACCAAACCCTGTCGTTACATCATTCAAAGGATTACTACTGTGAAGTTCCCGTAGATGCAAATGTTAAGATTACACGATTGGAAATGGTCTGAAGTCTGCCCAAGCTGTCCCGAGCCAGGGGAGCTATGTTCTCTTTCTAATGATGAGCCCTTGAGGCCCAAACCAAGACCTCTTGACAGGGAAAGGATGCTGAAGACGGCTACGGTGTGCTAGCTCACACTTAAACTCTTTTACTCAGACTTGGCCGAGTCCGTTGGTGTCTGGAAAGTTCTGGGTATTTCCTGAAATCAGAGCTGGAGTTACAGGTATTTGCTACTATGCTCAGCTTTTGCTGTTGGTTTTTGCTTTTTTGAGACACAGTTTCTCTGTGTAGCTTTGGAGTCTGTCCTGAACTCACTCTGTAGACCAGGCTGGCCTCGAACTCACAGAGATCCACCTGCCTCTGCCTCCCTAGTGCTGGGATTAAAGGCGTGCGCCACCACTGCCCAGCAATTGCTGCTGGTTTTTTGAGACACTATCTCATTATATAGGCAGGCTAGTCTCCAACTTGCAATCCTCCTGTCTCAGCTTCCTGAGTGTTGGGATTACAGGTGTGGCCACCATACCCAAGCCTGGCAAGATTTTTTGAAGTGGCAAAAACTGCATGTCCCATGAATGCTTCAGGCTGAAAACTCACCTCTATCCTCCAGGCTGCAGGTCTCTCTGTGGGAGTATAATAACACCCACAGCCTGTCATTAGTCCCTTTCAGGCTGCTGGGGTCTTTCATCCTGGAGCATGCCAAGACCCTCAAATAAAAGAAGCAAGAACAATCATCAAAGCACTGGCATTTGTGTGGTTGGTACAGCAAGTGTCCCTGATAGGGCCCACTATCATCGTATGCCTCTTGGAAGCTTTCAAGTCCTTTTAAGAGGTTGGCTTATTCCAAACCATCTTTAAATGTCAGTGGCTGGAGGAGCTGACTCGAGTCACCCTCTGCCTGTTTCCTTCTGGCTAAACTGGAGACCAAAACTGGGCCTGAGTGTTTTCTCCCACTCTGTCTCCTCAAATGGGGGAAGTGGGGTAAAAATCAATCAAAAGAAAATGAAACAGAACATCAGGGACTGGGAAGATGGTTCAGGGGTACAGTGACAGCAGCACAAGTTTGATCTTCTGAATTTGATCCTCAGAAGCCACATAAAATGCCAGGCACAGGGGTGTGCTGGGGAGGCAGGCAGGTGAATCAGCTAACCTACCCTAAGGGGTAAGCTACCTGTCAATGAACACATCCTGTCTCAAAATAAGGTGGCTAGCACCTGAGTAACAACACTGAAGGCTGGCCTCTGGCCTCCAGGTGTGTACACACACACACACACCTGCAGAAGCATGCATACACCCATACATGGATATGCATACACAGGCATGCACACATGCACAACACACATTGTCCTCCACCCCCCACTACAACAAAAATCCTCCAGGACCAAAGAGGAAGGGAGGGAGCTGTAATCCTGGATTCTTGCAATGGACATCACTGACAAGAGGGCTGGGGACCTCTCATCTTTGCATCTCAGAGCTATTTTTACTCAACCTGCATGATATGCACTGTCAGCATAATTGTACTTGATTGTGCAGGTGGTGTTTGGACGTCACCAAGCTGAGAGTCACACATCTTAGGCATAAACAGCAGCCACAATAAGGTTACTGCCTTGGGAAAAGATCACTATTGTTTTGGATTAGAAAAAATTAGTCATCAATGTTTATTAATGAAGGACTTTGAAATATTGTCTCTGGTTCCAGTTCTGGGCAGCCTGGTGGGTCTGGCCACCCATACTGGAGTGACCATAGAGTGGGTCCTCGGGGACTGCCACACACAGAGCCAACAGTGGTGGAAGTCTCATGCTCCAGCATGCAATTGCGTTGGGAGTCCCTCCTGGTGAAAGTGAGAGAAGAGTTTCGTTTCCTGATCAGCCTGTGTGCCGACTGCTGCAATGGCAGACACTCCTCTTGTCTCTGGCTCACACATGGATGGCTTCACTCTGTGCAGCTGGCTACAGTACCTCCCTGCATTCCTCTCTGGTCCTCCATTTCTGGTTAATTTGGGAAGATGGAAGAGAAGTAACATCTGGCAGATGCCTTAAGGTACGACTACATGTCACAGGTGTATGAAATCATCTCACTTTGTCTCACTGGTTTTGATGTGACCGGAGAGGGTCGATGATTTTCCAAACCCAAGTTAAAGAACAGAGGCAGTCATGGTCACGGAGGTCAGAGGGCAAGGTGTTCCTGCGATCCTCCTCTATTCTCACACACGGGGATGTGAACACTGACACATCAGATCCCAACATTAACACACTTCCACATGGGCCCCTTCTGTGGTGGAAATCTTCATTTACAGTTTTGAAAAAAAAAAAAAAGGATTCCTTTTGCTCTGTGGGAGAAAGATCACTTCTAATGATGGTAGAACTTGAATCACTTGGATCTATATGAACGACTCTGCAGCTTTGACCTTTGCCATCTCTTGACAGAGAGTTTTCAGTCCTTAGTTCATCCCAAGTTTGAGGGCTGTAGATGTCTGACTATGAGCCGAGGGCCAGGTCACTGCTCTCCATCCCACAAGACAAATATCTTCGAGGAAACAAATAGCTTTTTTTTAATAGCATAATAACCATTTGTACTATCAGCCTTATTTTGGTTCCTATTGTTTTATTTTGTTTTTGCTCATTAGATTTATTGCTTGTTGGCTATAATAGCTTAGACCTCATAACTCCATTAACATCTTTTTGAAATAGATCACATGCTTTGTGGCTCCAGAATCCCAAGAAGAGGGAGAAGATGTGGCTTCTGGGATTTGACCTAATCGTTCCTGTGGGTGACCAGATGGCCTGTTCCTCATGATGAATCTCAGAGAAGAAGCCATGTGAGTGATTGCAGTTTACTTTGCATATATTAATTCTTAAGTTTGTGTTTAATAATACACTCAAGGCAGATGTCGGATGAGTACATCAACTGCTCAGTCAGTCTAGATAAATCCAGTAGGCCTGCCCTTCTGCAGACAGCTCTTACCAACCTGCCCTCACTCCAGGCTAGAAGGCCATTTCACAGCAACAGTAAAACTGATTAAAACACAGCCATGTCCTTCCCTGCTGACTTTCATGAAGCTTCCTCTGGTAATAGGTATGCAGAATAATGATGTGTGAGATACAATCAACTAATAAGTATTTGTGGCATCTTTTGTGGGCTTCTCAGGAGCTAAGTATAGATAACTGATCCAGAAGAGGTAGGGGAGGTGACCCTTCCCTCCTCACACACATGAACAATCAGACAACAGAGCTAACAATAACACCCAAGAAGGAAGGATATAAAATGGTGTCAGTGTATATAAGTTATGTGCCTGGTCTCTTCCCAGAATATTTGAAAAAGTTATCCTGTAGATTAAGAAAAAGATGAGGGGCTGGAGAGATGGATCCAAAGAGCTTGCTGGGCAAGCATAATAGCCCGAGTTTGAATCTCCAGAACTCATAGAAAACCAGATGTGGTAGCCCATGTGAGTAATCCCAGGGACAGAGACAGAAGAATCCCTAAGAAACTGACAGGCCAGCTGTACACCATGGAAAAACAACAGCAGAGCCTTTTCTCCAATGAGGTGGAAGGTAGAGACAGACACCTGAGGTTCACTGGTCTCTGTGTGTGCACTGTGGCACACTCATGCCCCATTCACACATGCATAGGAATGATTGTGCATACACACGTATACACAGAGAGAGAGGGAGACAGAGGCAGAGCTGGGGTGGCTTGACTTTGAGGAATTAGAAAATTTTATTAGTAATAATAACAACAACAACAACAACAACAATAATTTATAACAGAATAAATGCATTGGCATTTACAGTGAGCACTATAACCCCCCTGAGATAGACGGTGGAAGGAAGAAGTGAATTTTTTGTGTGAATTGCACAGTGTGTCAGGTAACACCCGCATAGGAAATGATTTGAGTTAGAGAAAAGGAGGCCCTGGCTGAGGGCACCTAACCCTTCCACAGTGGGCCCAATGCCAGTCTGACTCACATTCCAGAGGGAGGTATTAGCTATGTCTACCAGGGCCAGTCATCAGACAGACATCTGCGGAAAGATTCCCTAAAACACAGAAAACCATGAGAGACCTACAGAGATCCGTCTCCCCGGAGCATCTGCAAGTCCCCCAGCTCAGAAGCATCTGGATTGGGTTTAGAACCAAAGCTGGCTCTGATCAAGTTAGTGATCTTTAATCATGGCTACCTATCCAAGGCTCTCAGACTCAAGTTTGTTCCAGTTCTGGGACCATATGGGCTCCTTTTGGTTGGTGGCCTGGCCCACCTGCAGCATCCTCATATTGGTGTCTATGCTCTGTCTCCGTCCCATGGGGCCAAGCCCTAATCTTGGTCTCTATGCTTGTAGCATTCATTGTCACTGTCTCAGGATGAAGGGCCTGCCTTGGTCTTTGGCCCTTCCTACAGTTCCGAGAATCCAGCTGCCATTACCCATGTCCCTCATGACCAGCGCAGTCACTGGCCTTTTGTGTCTTCAGTTCCAGATGTGCCACTGCACCCGGCGGCTTGTCACACATACAGCAGCCCCTTGGAGATCACCTGCCCACCAAGACCTGTATCCTGTCCCTCCTTCCACTGTCCTAAGACCACCCCTCAGGCTCAGGTGAACTTCAGATGGCCTCTCCTATCACATCTGCTTACACGTTCTCGTTACCTCGTACAGTATGCTTTCTTGCTGGGTCATTGTCTGAGTCCATTTGGGCAGCTGTAACAGAATGCCATGGACAGAGTTGTGGTGATATATTGTGCACCCCAATAAAGCTTACCTGGGGATCAGAGAAGCAGAACAGCCAGCCACTGGCTCACCTCTATGAAATCCTCAGCCTCAAGAGAGTGAGTTCCTGTTTCCTCATGCCTTATATATCTTTCTGTGTCCTGTCATATTACTTCCTGGGATTAAAGGTGTGTGTCACCACTGCCTGGTTCTGTTTTTCTCATGTAGCCCAGTGTGGCCTTGAACTCACAGAGATCCAGATGGATCTCTGCCTCCCCAGTGATAGGATTAAAGGCGTGTGTGCCACCACTGCCTGACCTCTATGTTTAATTTAGTGGCTGTCTCTGTCCTCTGATCCTCAGGCAAGCTTTATTGGGGTACACAATATATCACCACACAGAGTGAATTATACAGAGTAGAAATTTTCTTTCTCATAGCTCTGGGGGCTGGGTCCCAGTAGATTTGGTCCCTGGTGAGAGGTTGTTTTCTTTCCATAGATGCTTGTTTTCTTACTCTGTCTTCAAATAGCAGAGGGGACGCCTTTGTGTCCTCATATGTAGACATTAGTTGCACTGATGAACTAATTTACCTGTGGGACATTCTCCTTTCTAATACCATCATATTGCAGGTGAGGGTTTCAATATGTAAATTTGGGGCCGAGTACCAACATTCAGTCAGTCGCAGTCACTGTCCACTTGGGTTACTTGGGCTCATCCCAGTCGGGGAGAGAGGTGGTGATGGGAAGGTCATGTGCAGCAACATAAAGCAAGCACTACAGGGTGATGTGGGTGCTTCCGCAGTCCACATCTGACAAACGGGTCTCCCTGCCCATCATTCAAGGAGAAGAACAGGAAGGAGAGACTTTGAATGGCACAATGAGGAGTCCAAGGCTAGCCCAAGGACTTCATGGGAGTGTTGATGGCTGGAGACAGCCCCGGAAGGCAATCAGAGAGGGCCGGGTTTGAGTGCTGGTTCCGTAGCTCAGGAGGGATGGGACCAAGGAACTTCTGCTCTGTACTTCGTGGTTGCTCATCCAGAACACCGTGGTAATTATCCCGACCTGGCAGGCTGGTATGGGGTTGTTGGTACACCATCCAGGTATGGTGGCATTCACCTATAATTCTAGAACTTGGGATCTAGAGGCAGGAGGATCAAGGCTAGTCTCAACTATATATATATATATATATATATATATATATATATATATATAGTGAGTTTGAGGTAAGCCTGGGCTGTGTGGAACCTTTCCTTAAACAAAACAAAACAAATCCCAAAAAGTAATGTGACATAATGTGACAACTGTCAGGTACTCAGCCTGTGGATACCAACCTGAGAAAACTCAGGCCAGGATGTGGAGGCTCATCAGTATGATCCCAGCACTCTGGAGGCAGAAGCAGGGGGCTTGCTGCAAGTTTGAGGGAAGCATAGTCTAGATAGCAAGTTATAGAACCTGTCTGAAAAAGCCAGGGAAAAGGGGGTGGGTGGAGAAGGCGTAGAAAGGAGGAGGAGGGGAGGAGGAGGAGGGAGGTGGGGGGAGGGGAGAGGAGGAGAGCCTATTTAAACACTGAACTGTGTTTTATCACTGTTGTTGTTGCTAACTGTGATCACACCAGAGGCTTGAAGGTGGGGAGGAACTAAAGAGATCAACAAGAGCACGTGTCATCTGCAGGGTGGATCTCATTGGTCTCAGTGTCACTAAAAACTGACTGTAGCTGGAGTTTTCTCCAGTCCCACCGGGGCACGCAGCTGCTCAGACCCAAGTAAACACACAGAGACTTATATTACTTATAAACTGTATGGCCATGGCAGGCTTCTTGCTATCTAGTTCTTATATCTTAAATCAACCCATTTCTATTAATCTATATGTTGCCACGTGATTTACCGGTACTTTACATCTTGCTTCTCATGGTGTTGGCAGCTGGCATCATCTCTTGATTCAGCCTTCCACTTCCCAGAATTCTCTTCTCTGCTCACCCCGCCTATACTATACTTCTTGCCTGGCTATTGGCCAATCAGCATTTTATTTATCAATCAATCAGAGCAACACATTCACAGCATACAGAAAGACATCCCCAGCAGCTAACCTTGTTATTTTATGTTTTTTAAATATTTCTTTAACGTGGTGTGTAGGTGCGTGCACATGTGTGTGTGTTTGTATGTATGTGTGTATATGTCCATCCAAGTACAATTTGTGAGTTAGTGGTTCTCTCCTTCAATTACAGAGATTGAATTCAGGTCATTCCAGCCTAAACCTTGTTATTTTAGACATGAGAGAAAACAAACAAACAAACTTGAAGCATGGAGTGGTCAGCAAAATGACCCTCTTGTCCAGTCTTGCCAGAGGTGGCAGACTCTTACCCACAGAACATTTGCCACTTATCAAAGAGAGCTTGACAGTGCACGGACCGACATGTCAGTTGGCAGTTGGCGAGGGCTGCCAGCACTCAGTGACATCCTCAGGGACACAGACTATGTGTGGAATTCTGGCTCACAGGGCAGCACGCTGGCACTTTCCCATCTTCCCAGACATGGACTAGTGACATGATCCTGTGATGTCTCAGCTTTCCTGTTATTTGCTCAGAGGAAACTTCCCAGATGCCCAGCGAGGCGACTTGTCATATGCATCCATAATGCTGGATGCTTCTCCTCCAGCATGTTCCTTGGGCTTCTTAACCCATTTCCCACTGGGTGGTCTCTGAGCAGCAGGTAGTACATATTACTCATTGAGACATTTCTCCGAGTCTGGTAGAGAATAGATATTCATCAATGCTGGTTAAACCGCCGAATAAGGTTGCTAACTGCGACAGTTGGATCAAAATTTTGGACCCACAACTTAGCATGTTAAAAAGGCAGGGGAGGAAGTGCTGGAGAGACATCTCAGTGATTAAGAGCATGGACAGCTCTTCCAGAAGACCTGGGTTTGACTCTCAGCACCCATGTGGCAGCCCACAACTGTCTGTACCTCCAGTTCAGGGAATCTGCTGTCTCCTCTGGCCTCTGTGGGCATCAGACATGCCTGTGGTGCAAGACATACATACAGGAAAAACACTCATACAAGTTAAAAAAAAGTCTTTAAAAAAAGAACTTTTAAAAATGCTAAGATAGCAGCCTGGTGGTGGTGGTGGTAGTGGTGGTGCCAGCACTCAGGAGACAGAGATAGGTGGATCTCTGAGTTTGAGGCCAGCCTGGTTTACAGAGCGAGTTCCAGGACAGCCAGGGCTACATAGAAAAACCCTGTCCTGAAAAAGTAAAAATAAGAAAAAAGTGAGAAAAAAAAAAAAAAAAAGGTGAGGCAGGGACCGGAGAGAGGGCTTGCTCAGTAAAGTGCCTGCCATGTGAGCAGGAACACCTGAGTCTGGATCTCCAGAACCAGGTTCACAGGGGGTGTGGCAGCATGCATCTGTAACTCCAGTGCTGGGGGACTGAGACAGGCAGGTCCCTGACGCTCTCTGGCCAGCCACCTCGCTGAATCGATGAGCTTCATACACAGACAGAGACCCTACCCCTAGAAATAAAGTTGGGGAGTGCTCAGTTGATGACACCCGGCATCAACCTCTGACCTCACACACACACATGCACACACTAACAGGCACATACACCAAACACAACGTGACGCACAAGTAACTGAATCGAAAGACAATGGTCTCAGAATAAAGGAGAGTTCTTCCCAAGGTAGGGGATTAGAAAAGTCATCTTGCTACTTCCGAGTTTGTGGTAGGTGTGTTAGACGCCTGACTGCGAAAGCATGTTGCTTTCCTCTAGTTTTTGAATCACTTTTGTTAACACTTCATCAGGGACTTACTTAGTCCAAGGACGGGCATTTCAAAACTGCTATCCTAAAAGTCACGGCCATTAATTAAGTGTGGCAATTGCCGTTGCTCCACAATGCTGAGGGAAGCAGATCTCTGAGTCCCAAAGGTTCCCATGACAAATTTACCAAATATGCATCCATATTTTATTGCCTCTTGGCTCAATTTTTACCCCGAGTCCTACTTTTTTTTTTTTTTTTTTTTTTTAATTGAAAAGCTCTACCTCATTGTGGTGGCTTATTTAGCAGACAGGGTGGTGCTCACACTGTCTAAGACAGGGAGATGTCAACACCTAGAGATAAAGATCATTCCTCTGGGGAGTGTCATTTAACCAAAGAGGAATATGAGCCTCACTGCTGTGGCTGGAATCCCCTTGTAGACTGATGACACCTTCAGACACACACACACACACACACACACACACACACACAGAGGATTTAGGATATTTAGATTTCAGATTTTTGAGTTAGGAGTGAGGCTGATTCCCAGCTGAGCAGTGGATACACTCTACCCAAGCTAGGTGGGGTCTGAATTTGTTACACAAGGGCCACCACGGACTTCCAC